AAATAAAATTTTAATACAAAATCACCCCCCCCCCCCCCCCCCCCCCCTGATAAAACTGCGAAGAATAAAAAGTTAGCATATGTACCCATTGCCTTTTATTTTTGGAATGTTATATTAATACCGCAGTTTCAACGTTCTCGCATTTTGCCTTTATCATTTTTGGAAAATTGTCTTACCTTTTTACTTTTACAATTCTCTATTAAAAATATCATATTTATCTTTTATTAACTCTAGATCTTGACAGAGATATATATAGTATCAGGAGCTTTTAATATTTTTCTTTTTTTTATAGAACTATTAAAATGTATAAAATCTAATTTTCAATTTTTTATGAGATTATAACGTGGTTATTTTTAAGTTTTAACTCTAGCTTATATGTCAACTTACAATATTATTTATTTTACTCCTTTTTTGTCCAAAAAATTTTTTAGATTTCTTTTTCTATACATTTTAAGAAAAAAATATAATTAATATAGGTTATAAGATTATTTTTTTCCACCCTTATTCACAAAATAAATTAGCTCTCAATTATAGATGTAAATTAAAGTATAAGTGACACCTAGAAAGGCGAATTTTTGAAGGAAAAGTAGTAAAAAACTTTAAAGCATACAAATAAATAAAATGGGCTAATTTTTTTTAAGATATCCCAAAATGGAAATAGGGGACAATCTTTATCGGACGGAGGGAGCATTAATCTAATCACCTAGTGGTTCATTGCGTTTGAGATTTAATCACAAATTTAAAATATTTGTTAAGTTAAAACAAATACTATTCATTATATTTTTCAACTACTTAATTTTAAAAACAGATAATTAATAGTTAATCTTTGAATAATAATCAAAAGGAGTTAAGCTAAATGAAGTTGATGGTTTGGTTGCCTCTTCGAATCTTTTCCACTGTAGTAGCTTCTAAATAAATTAATTATTAAAATACTAATAATAATTATAAAAAATATAAATCTTTATTTGCATTTTTGCCTAGAATATTACATACATTATATTTCAAAATTAGCTAGTGATTTTGCTACCGATTTCTCTATACTATTACTGATAATTAGTATTTTTGAATTACAATTTTGTATTGAAATTTTTTATTAATGGAAAAAAAACTTAAATTCCCTATATTTAGCCATAAATTGATGATATTTGAAATTTAAAAAATTATTTGAATTAATCAATTTATATCCATTTTTTAACATGGTAGGAATGATTGAAAAAAGTCAAAATTGATACTGTATCATCATAATATGAACCAATGGATATATCCCAAATTTGGGGCCAAATTATAAGTCGTTCTTTTTTTTTTAAAAAAAAAAAAACCATAAATATTAAATAAAAAAATAGAAAAAAAGGGAGAATGAGAGATAGAAAATTGTGTCCTATTCCTGAAAGATTGATCGGATTAAGGCCACGTTGGCCGATACCGTGAAAAACGAAGGACTTTTTATTTTCGCTTAAGAGCTTTCCAGCGTTTATAAATAGAAACTGCTTTGTTGCCCCCTCCAGTCAAGAATGGGGCGCTCACAATCACTACCAATATGCTTTTCTCTCATGCCTTTCTCGTTCATGGTCATATTCTGTGTCTAGGTATAGAGAACCACACCAATCCTTCCGAACTGGTGGTTAAAGTTTGCAAGTTAAAATTTGAAAATAATAATAACAAAATTAATATATAAGGAACAAAATAATGAAAATTTAAAAATACAAACACTTTTTCTTTTTTTTTTTAGAAATAAAGTATCAACACCATTCAACCAAAGAACCATTCAGCCAAAACAAAAGTTCTATGGTGAGGGACTTCTTCCACCCATATTTATTTTATGAGCAAAAAGTAAAAGCTAAAATACAACCTTATTCTTGATATATGAACATGCATCATTGGAAATCAACAAAAGTAACAAACTGAGGAATCTAAATAGAAGCAACCTAGTTCTACATTCCATATCATTCGGTTCTAATGGGTTCTAGCTCTTAACGCTTACTCATCTCTATAGCCAAAAGCTTCATTTCTATTAAAGACAAAGTATGAAACTTTTTGGCTTATCAGCTATTCCAATATGAATTCTATGGGCTTCCCCAAGTCCCCTACAATTTTCATAAAATCAACTGGCGGAGTTCTCGCCATAAATCAAAAACAACTGCATGTGAAAGGGTCATTTTTTCTTCTTTTTTCTCACGAACTCAAGCAATAAACTTGCTACCAATTCCATCACCTGTTGCCTATCCTTCAACTTCCTTTTTTCTTAAAACAACTTATAAAACCGGCTCTTGTTTAGAAACCTTACATTGGCATGTTTGCATTTCCATGAAGGACAAGATGAATTTCTCTTGGACAAAGTTTAATGGTTTTTAAGAGAGGGAAGGGGAGTTTGTATTTGGGTTTAACGGACTCGTCAAGGATAATGGGTCAGGGATATTGTGCTTCAAGGAGAGAAAACCTTTAAAAGTGGAACAATAACAATTTTTCTATACGTTGAGATTGGATCATCGGAATAAAAAGGGGAGTGTTGTATAAGCACGGAGATCCCGTACATAATAGCACGAAATGACCACCTCGTCCCATTACGGACCATTTGTGCGCACAAATATAAATTGCTTTAAACCAAGATTAGGACATCTCTAGTAGCTAAGTGATGCTCAATTAGTGTATAAATTCCATTATTTTAATAAAAATTAGACACATAAATAACATGCAAAGGTCACCATAAGTTACATAAATGTGATCATGTTTGATATCCAACAGACTGTCATTGTAAAACATAAAAAAATATTAACAAAGAATTGAAACGCCACAAAACAATAACAATTTTTGAAGGAGTAAAGATTATATATATAACGGTTTGATTTTAAATAAACCTAGTTAGATTTAGAGTTTATAATTCAAAAAATTTAAAGTTAAAGTTTTAGTTAGATAAGAGTAGATGATTAAATAAAGATTTAGGTTTTTCAAAAGTTATTAATTGTCAATATATATGGCTAAATATTAAATTTAAAAAATTAATTAAGAGTCAATTCAAAATACAAACAAATAAGTAAAAAAATTAAAATTTTCTAAAAAAAAATGTTAGATAAAGGAAAACCATTGAAACTTTCTCTTTGTTTTAATTATATATGTTAAATACAATAATAGAAATAACTACTTCAAATTCAATAAGCACACAATAACTCGCTGTGCTGTATAAATCCATTCTCATTATATCCGCTTTGAATCCAAAAATCTCAAATAAAAATATGTTAAATAAATAAAATAAAAAAATACATGGCAAAATAATAGTAAGAGAGCTAAATCAATAATTAATGAAATCTTGCTAATATATAATTTTTCTTCAATTTATTGATATATAAAATTTTCATGATTATAATAGTTCTAGATGTATCTCGTTCTCATCTATTATATAAAAAATCACATTAATAAATTGAAAACATGGGAAGTCTAGCATCAACGGGAGCCGAACTATATGATAGATCGTTATTCTCTCATTTTATCTTCGATACATTTCTTTTCACGGTGTGATTGTTGTCTACTTGTATCCAAACTTTGTATGGAACTTACATTCATCGTTAGACATACATTCGCAATCTTTGCAACTTTTATGTGATGGACATGTGGATATTTGATTTCTAGCATTCCTCCCATGTAACAAGATTTTAAATAAATTTTGTTCATTCAAACTATTCTGAATACAAGAAGTTAGATTTAAAATTTGTCCCAAATGGAATAAATGAATGCATGATTAAAATAAGTTTCTACTATGTATCGTGGATCTATATTGCTAAGATGGGTGGTTAAACCATGCTGTAGTGTGGTAATGCTATTTTCTTTTGGACAGTTGCTATCAAAAATCAATTCATTGGTACCACATTCTCTTTCATCAAAGTTAGGGTCAGAATGCATCTTCCAAACAATAATAGATCTCCTGTGGATAGTGGGAACTTTGTAATTTAAGTTTATCGATCTTCTAATATATTTAGGGTATTTGTAGTTTCTGTTCTAATTTTTATTTAATTACAGTAAAATTATTTTTTTAATCTTTAAGAAAAATAAATGATTTTTCCACATTGATGACAAAAAATATTGTTGTTTCAAATAAAATTAATTTTCAGTCTAATTTAGTTTATAGATATAATGTAGACTTAGACAATTAATCGTTTTATCATTTGGTTTTTGAACACCTAACAAACGGAGTCAAATCCTAAAAAAAAAAAAAAAAGAGAAAAAAGATAGGATGTCTTTTTCTTGCTCAACTGGTTGGAAATTTGATTAGGTGTCGGCAAGGGCATAATAAACAGGAATTCAACTGGCCCATCATCCAAGAATCAAGTACTGAAGAGAAAAATTTGTTCCTTCTTCTCGTTTGAACAGAATCATGGAAGGGAGGTCCATTAATGAAGTTATCTAAGTTTATGTTTTGAAAACAATTGGGAATAAACTTAATCCACTTTGAAAACAAGCTACCGAAATGTTATATTTCACAGAAACATCCAATCTTTTCTATCAAAAGTTACATTTTGTTTTTTTTTTTTTTCATGGAAGACACCAGATTTCCTGGCAGGGTATAAAGCATACGTCAATAACATTGAAACAATCACATCTAAAACTCATTAAAACCTTAGTTTCAAAAACTAATTGAATAACTTATATTTTACATACCAAAGCGTTTCCTCCAATCCACAACTATAGCATGATGCAACAATATTTCTGTTCCCTCCTTCCATACAGACAAGTGAATTTCAGCATCAACAATGAAGAACTGCAACTCCAACAGAGTAGAGCAATCATGGGTCCAATTCGTATCAACAAATGGATATATAGATTATGCTTCTGTGTAACCTGATCAGCATGGGACAGCTCTTTGCCTAAGAACTTGGTTCTTGGTGTTTTAACTCTTCTGATTGAACTTGCAATTTGGTGGGATTAATCCATTCTCCTTCAAACATTAACGATCACACATGAATCACATGGGCTGTTCTAGACCCACAAATACTTTTCATGCTCGGATCAAAGCGCTCTTAATCGGTTCCCTTGCATCCATAGCTGAACTCCCAGCTTTGAACCATGTCACCACAAAACGGCACGTGATGAGGCGCAGGGGACAGCTGAAGTTTGGTGTTGTTACCTGCCACAGACCAAACAAGCAAAATATATTTAATTTTGTTCCCTAACCTGATTAAAAATGGCTAGTGATGTTCTATCAATTGCATAAATACACAAATTTATAAGATTTTCTTATTTTTGTCTTTTAATTTCTCAATTATTTTTGGAAAAACTTTTTAAGCAAACTCCTCTTTAAGATGCCATTATAAAATCCCTCACTTGGAGAAAGGGAATCCCAACCCTGACAAAATTTTCATCATTTGTGATTCAAATGGCCAAATATCAATCAATTTCCAACTTTCTACCTTCTAATCCATAGTAAACCCTTAATATCATCTGAAGAAATGGTCAATGGTTATATCTCAGAAAATCAATTGGGCAAACATTGCATTATTGCAATGTTCAATCAAATGGGCCAAAAGCATCATAGGGAATTTTATGGTGGCATAATGCCACGAATAAAGTATCAATAGCAATTGCAGTAACATGTCATTAAACATTAAATTAAGAAGAATATCAAGGGTTTCCACTTTGTTTACCCAATCTGTTCTTTTCTCAAGGAAAAACTTTAAAACTCCAACCGCAAGGCCACTGAAGGTTCATGAAAAACTTTCTATGTCTTCTCCGATTTCTCCCCTTTGAAAACCTTGCCCACATTCTCACAGCTGCACTGGTTCTGGGCCTCCTCAATCCGCAGAAACCAATTTCAACAAACCAAACGGTGTGACAAACGATATGAGTCTACTACAATGCTTCGTGCAGTGCTATACTTCTAGTGGTAAATAAAAATGCTTGCAATTCCGACACTCCACAGTATCAATTTCTATAGATGATGAAGATCCGCTTGCTGACCCATCCTTAATATATTATATCTTGACACTACCAAAACCTCTGTACTTGTGTTCCTTGAAAACCATAGTACCCCAAGGCTTTAAGTACCCACCCCAATTCTTATCCTTAAACTAAGATCAAAAACCTTTGAACCCACATCATGAGAAGACCATTCGTGTTTGATGTCGGGTTGGAAATATTGAGAGATGCTTGGGATATGTAAAATCAGTACACCACTACCAGTTTCTGCATCTATTTTTACTTCAACTCGACAGGTCACGCAGAAGCAAAATTTTCCCCACATAATCATTGTCAATAGAAAACTTGTAATAATGTATGACATTCCCTTCTCAAACAATTTCCAAGATTCTGATCATCCCAAGTTAGTGGCTCATACATGTTGCTTTTGTGCTCTCCTGAAGCTTGAATCTGGACCAACTATATCAACCTCAACCATTCTGTTTCCAAGACAGACACACTAGAGGAAGGTTTTAACTCTTAAACTCTTAACTTTTATGTTAATATCCCCATGGTTGACGATTTTCACCTCACCCTAGAAAGGGTTGCATGCTGCCGAAGGGTAGTTTCAAGGACAGCTTTGTATTGGGATTCTGAAAAGGCCCAACAACCTCAGTTGAAGCTTTGCATAAGTTCCTTTAGGCAGCCAGACATAACGGAGTTCAATCAGAGGAGACTTTGAGCTTCTACAGAAACAGGGTTACTCCGATACAGGGGAAGGAAGCCCAACAAAACCTTCCTCTGCGGTGAACTCGAGAACACTCGAGGTGTGTTGTCTGCTGCTTTGAGTCTGCAATCTTCATTGGAAGAACCTACTTGATGAATCACTATATGGAAAGTATATTGCCCTTTTGTCCAAAAGCCACCTTTATCAGACATTCTGTGAAACAGGAAGAGTGGCAATCTAATCTTTCTCCATTACCCTGGAAAAAGATACAGCTTACCAAGATACGAAAAACAATTATCCTCTCCCAGCAAAGGCAAATTGTCTTGCATTGGCTTCAATCAGCCTGCAAAGAAAAACCAAATTTATTAGGAAACATGAAGCATGAAGAATCTCTTTCGCACCTTATAAATATAGGCACAAAACATTTTATTTGAAGTATCAAGTTAACATGTATGTGCAGTGTCAAAAAAAAAAACGAAACAGGGACCACCAGGGTTGGAATTAAATTAGGCATCAGTTTGATTTTTAACTTAATTTCAATTTTGCCCTTTTTCTAATGTACAAATTAGCCTAATGTAAGATTCTTATTTTAGGTATTGTTTTTTTGTCAAATTTTTTACCAAGGAAACATACGAAATTGTTAACATTTATTTGGTTTTATAGATATTTGGCATAGAGAAGCATCTAACAAAGACACTAAAGATACATAACGAAGAGTCTATCAAGAATCTGTCGACTAAACAGGCAATAATATAATGTAGTTAACCTCACAGGGTTATTTACATAAATATACAAATTTCAATATATCAAAGTTGATATATTCTATGGAAAGAGGGAAAAGGCACACTAGTTGAACAAGTAATTGTATATTCCCTTTCTATATTATTACAATAGAAGAAGCCAGAATATTGTATTGAAGAACTTAGTAACTTACAAACTTCCCACATCAGTAGTTAACAAAAATTAGAATAAACTCTATCATTCTCTTAGCATGAATAAACAATGGGAAGAAGAAGTTAGAAATGGAGAAGGAAAAATTTATTAATCTATTTGTTCAAATTGGAGGATTAGAAGAGGATCGCGATTAGTTAAAACCAGGTCCAAGACTGTATAATTCCTTGGCTCTATTTTTTATTCCCATTGTTAAATATTAAAATTTCTTTACCAGCTTTAAAGAGTTAAGAATTAGCTTTTCTTTTTCAATTCATTTCTTAAGAATCTTACTTCCGTAGTTGTTTGCAATCAAAATTTGATTTCAAAATGTCATAAATCTCGTCATTCATGGACAAGTTTAAATCCTTGTTTAAATAAGGTATATTAGTTTTCAACTTTTCGACACCAGAAGTTAAAACCCGCCATTATCAATTACCTTAAAGTGATCGTAAACAACAACCCTAAAATCAGAATTATCAAGTTTACATCCTAATAGAAACTGTAGAACCAATCAGTTAAGCAAAATTAACATCCAAAACAACTATCAAAATAAAATATGAAAAAAAGTAAAATTAGATTCAGGTGCGAAAAAAATAAGATTCAAATTTAAAGTAATCAGAAAATATGAAGTAGAAAATACCCTTGAGTGGGCTTCGATTAGCATCAAGTCTTCGAGATCTTGCGCGCTTCAATGGCCTCTCTTTGCTTTTTTGCCTCTTCTTTTACTTTTTGCTCTCTTTCCAGTTTCAATCGTCGCTCTCTCCTTCCTCTCCTTTTTGCTCCTTCTTCAACAGCTTCTCTTCTCGCCTTCTCAGTTCAAAATCCCATCGTTTTTATTTCTTCTGCTGTGCAAATAGCAATCCGAATTTGGTATCCAATGCACCTTGTTTATATAAGTTTTTTTCCGTAGGTTGATATGTGGCTTTGCGTGAGTAATGAATGAGTCGCAAGAAGATGGACTTGGGAATTTTCCAATAACAGGGAATCGCAGGAGAGGAGGGACAGATTGGAGTTGGAATCTTTAATTCTACTTTTGCTTGGATTGGATTTCCAATTCCAGAAGAAATCTGGCCGTTTTCTTCTTCTTACTCTTCAATAATGTGCCTGACCATGGCCCACAGCGGAGCGGATGATGGCGAATAGCCCAATTAAACTATCAAGGATCTTGTTTTTCCTTTTTGCCGCTGTGGAATGGGAAAGTTGATGAGAGAATTTAGGTAGCTCGGACCTAGCACTATGTTAAGGGACTACGGAAATAATTTAATATAACAGTTGAGAATGAAATTTAATGCATTTTATAAAATGTCAGGAATTTAAAGAACTAATTTTTCATATATAAATTTCATTCTTATATTGTCTAGACTTAATTATTAAATTTAGCTTGAACTCTCAAAAATTCTATTTAAAATGTTGAATAAAAATATTTGCAATTAAATTTTTTAAATCAAATATAATTTAGCCAATAAGTGTCTTCGATTTTATGTGATTGTTGAAATACGAACGAGAACTTATGAGATTATTTAATATTAAAAAAAAATAATTGATTAAAACGAGTAAAAGTCTTAATGATTTGAACAAAAATGTAATGAACAAAATGTGCCCTTAGACCTCACCCACCGCTTTCACCCCACCAGTCCCTTGATTTCTTCTTTCTTCCACTCAAAAATAACCCTCTATTCTTTCCATTTACCCACAAGGCCAAATTCAAAATGTGACATCGCCCACCAGCCATCCACACTCAGATCTTCTTTTACAACCCCGGCCACCGTCAATCCTTAGAAAAGACCACCATCACTTGTGTTATCGTTCAAATGCTTCCTTCGATCCCTTCCTTACATATGGGATTATCCTTTATTGTTTGACAAGACTCAGCTCTGTCATGATCAATCAGAAACGTGTTTAAGCAACAATTCCCCGAAAATGCCATTTGTAAGTAAATTAACGACAGGAACAGAAATACAACCCAATGAATTAAATATTACACGTATCTAAACGGGTTATTTAAATATGACCTTAGTTTCATTTTCTTTTTAAAAATCGCCTGGAAACGAAAGAAATCGAAATTTAATTGATTTCAGACGACTTTTAAAATGATTGTTAAAAATTATTGGTTTTAATTTGAAATCGAAATTAAATAAGTAGATAATTTAATAATAATAATAATAATATTGAAAAAGATGAAATCGGTTTAATAAAAAGTGTTGAAAAATGTATTTACAAAATTATAATAAAACAACAAACAATAGAAGGAGTTTCTTTTAAAGTATTTTTTTATGATTTCAAATTAAAAATAAAAAACAAAACCTGAACTATAAATATATAATTTTGATTGCTGTTTGAAATCGGAAACTATTGAACTATGATTTAGTGCCGATTTTAATTTATTTAATTTCGAATCAATTTTAATTTGAAATCAAATTAAGCATTAGCTTTTTATGTTTTTTATATTATAAAATTTTCTTTCATGATAATAAACAATTATTATGAATGATAATCATCTGATTATGAAAATCCTAATTTAGAAAGATATGTTACAATACATATTAATAGCATAGTTGAATAATAATAAATATCAATTTTATCATAATTTTAATTGGAACAGATATGTCACAATATTATTATAATTATAATTTTTTACTAATAAATATTAATAGGATAATTAAATAACAATTAATATCAATATTGTAATTGAGTAAAATAGATATTAACTAACATATATTAAAAAAAAAAACAGTTCACATAGCTATATAACAAATTTTTTTTTAATACATGCCCTTGTACTAATGATCTGAAAATTTAAACTTTTAATACAATAATCAAAATAATAAATAGAGTTGACGGACAAAAAAAAAGTTATCTATTTCTAAAATCCATAATTATATAAACAGTATTTTAAAATAATATTACTATTTAATCCTTTTATTTCTATAAATAGTCAAAGATCATTATGCTTAAATAAAAGGACTGATAAATATTTACTCATGTTTCAACTGTCAAAATGAAAGTTGATATTTTTATGTGGCGTTGCAGTGCTTATCCATTGTCTCCTGAGAAACAAGTGATGAGATAGAGAGCTTGGTATGGTGTGCCAGTGACTCAGCCACCAATTATTGAACGCTAAATTATTGAGATTGTAGGACCATGCCTTAAGGTAACTATCTGAAAAAAAAAACAAACAAAGGCCAAAATTTAGAATTTGCCCCTTTTGGGGCCTGAAGGTTGGCCTATAAAAGCTCAGACACTCGATTCTGTCTAAAAAGAAAACATCAATTAGTCATTAAAGAAGACAGACATGGCAAAAGCAGAGCCGAGTAGCAGAGAGAAAAGGTGGTCTCTCAAGGGAATGACTGCTCTTGTCACTGGAGGAACCAAAGGCATAGGGTATATCTAACTTATTCTTTCATTTTCCTCCCTTCTTTCATTTCATGCTTATATATATTAATGTTCTTTGGAGTACTTCAGACATGCTATAGTGGAAGAATTAGCAGAATTTGGGGCAGCTGTGCACACATGTTCTCGCAACCAGAAAGAGCTTGATCAGTGTTTACAAAAATGGCAAAGCAAAGGCTTCAAAGTAACTGGATCTGTTTGCGACGTATCAATTCGAGCCCAAAGGGGAAAGCTTATAGAGACAGTTTCCTCCATCTTTGATCGAAAGCTGAACATTCTTGTAAGTTCTCCTTTTTCTTCCTTGCGTTCCTTTCTTATGCAGCTATTGAAATTGGAACTCAAAGTCGTAAATATGGTTAATTAGGTCAACAACGCAGCGACAAATACATTTAAAGAAGCCTTAAAGGATACTGCTGAAGACATTTCGACTGTTATGAGTACAAATTTTGAGTCTGCATATCATCTAAGCCAGCTTTCACATCCTCTCTTAAAGGCATCACAAAATGGTAGTATTGTAAATATCTCTTCCATTGCAACCATAATTGCTGTCCCTCGTTGTGCTGTCCATGCTGCATCCAAAGGTATGATACACATATCTTATGCTTCTTTTGCCTTTTTACTTTCAAATTGGCAAACAGGGACACTGTTTTTAGGACCGGGTTAGATGTTTTATTACATTTTGAATTGATAAAATTAGTTATATACATATGATTAGTGTACATTTTTTTTAATAATATTTAGTTTGCTTTTTGAATTTGATCAGTATGCAATTTTTCTAAAACTGAACTTTTAGATCGATTTGGACTTGAATTTTCAATTACAATAATTTTTTCACTGAATAAGCCGAAAGAAAATTAGGTCAGTAATTTCTTTATTTTCTGTTTTCACAAGAATTTATTAATAAAAAAAATAAACCAAGAAAGCGTTTGATTTAACCGATTCATCTAACCAAAAGTTAATGCTGATTATCTAAATTGCATTGTTTTGTATTTATATCATATTTGGACGGTACTAAAAATAATTACAACCAAAATTATCTTTTTACAATTAATATTTTTAAGTCATCATTTTATTTATAAATTTATAAAAATAATTAATATTAACATTTTTTATTAATTTGAATCTTTTTTATATAATATTGTAAAAAAGAGAAAATAATGCATTAACCTTAAAAAGAATAAAATATATATGTACATGACACATAATTTTATAATTATACATTTTACAGTTGTTTTATATTAATTGTACAGTAATTATTTATAAAATTTTATCATATAACCAAACAATTAAATCAAGCACATCTTTAATTTTACTGATTGAAAATTTTGTTAAAAAATTGACTATTTGCTGTTTTGAAAAAAAAAGAGAAAGACATACCTTTACTTTGGATGAGTATACATTTTTTGAAGTAAGGAAAATAACTATGGAAAATTATATATATCTAGAAAAATGTAGTTTTCTTTGTTTGGAAAGAAGAGAAATTAGAATACTGAAAGAAGTAGGGTGCGTTCACTTCTAGAAAACTGGAGTAATTTTCTATAAAAGTTTTCCAAAAAAATTAAAAAACAGAATTTTGTGTTCAAATCATTCAGTTTTCTATATGAAAAACTACAAAACAAGTTTCCAAATTTTCAAAATTTAACTAAGATTTGGAAAACAGTTTTAAGTTGTTTTATACAGTTTTCCTTTATAATAAAAAACATGCTTTCTAATTGTTTTTCATTTTTATAAAATGATATTTTCATAATTGAAGTTATAATATCTATAAATAATTTTTTCTATAAAATATTTAAATAACATAAACAATTATGTTATGCTTTAATATATAATTAACTTTATTATTATAAATATATTATATCCTTTATTTTTTAAAAAATTTACAAAATGATAAAAAATCCTTTATTTTTTAAAAAATTTACAAAATGATAAAAAATGAAAGTTCTGAGAGTTTTGAATAATATTTGTGAAGTTTTTAAATTAAAATATAATTTTTATATTATTATCAAGTAAACGTATTTTCCATTTTCTGTTTTCTAATTTTCCTTTTTTAAGAAAAACTGTCTTTTATAAAACAGAAAACTATATTCTGTAGATAAATACACCCGTAATATTTTAATTATTTTTCACTTAGGTCCACTTATTTTCAGTCTCTCCAATTTGGAGGAAAACAATGGAGAAAGTTGGAATTTCATTCATTTTATTAAATTATCCAAATACCCCAAATTAAAACAAACTTTAATCCTGTCAAATACTCCATTATTTAAGTGATGATATTATTGTAAATTTTCAATAATAATATTTTCTTTCTTCTGAAATTTTGCTTTTTCCAAACAAAAGAAAATAAATTAATTTTCTTTCATTTATTATATCACAAGACAAGAACAAAAAATAATTATGAAAAAAAAAAACGACAGTTCTTCATTATTTTCCTCTGTTATTTTTCTTCCTTCAATTTTTTCCTCCCTCTCCTTTCCAAACAAAGTGTTAATTCTTTTACTGAAAGTTTTGTTAAATTTCATGTATTTGCTATTAGAAAACAATAACAGTTAGTTTTTTGCTGCTGAGATGTTGATTTGATAACTTGGGAAGATGGATGATTTGCAGGAGCAATGCAGCAAATTACAAAAAATTTGGCATGTGAATGGGCAAAGGACATGATTCGAGTTAATGCAATTTTACCAGGATTAGTAGATACCCCTCTCTTAGATTATGCAAAGGTTTTTCTTTTAATCTTTTGTAATTAATTAAATATTTAACAAATCAAAAAGTAAATTTTTTTCTCAATTGTGATTAATCAAAGTAAAATACTTCTACATATAAATATTGAATCAATTAATATTTTTATCTTTTATAGAAAATTTCGGGAAGTTCTGAAGATATGGAGTGTTTAACTCGTGCTATCCCCCTCTCCCGAGAAGGAAAACCTGAAGAGATAGCATCAGTGGTGGCGTTCCTTTGTTTTCCGGCTTCTTCATACATCACTGGCCAAAATATAATTGTTGATGGAGGATGTACTGTGAATGGCTTCTAAGTTTTTCCCAAACAATAAAAATAAAATAAATGTTTTGTTTTATTCTGAATTAGACTATATATATATATTTACTTTAGTAATTGAATACATTTAAATAAAATTTCAATTCGCTGAGAAACCAGATGTAATGTCTTTATTTTATTATTAAACGTGTTACCGCACTTGTCGCGTGAATATTTAAATTTTTTTGAATAAGTATGGCTAATGAATTATTTTCTTTTTTGAGAAACTATTGAGGGGCAACTTCTCAAATAATATTTATAATCCTCTGTGTGCACAAAATCAAGTAACCTTTTATTCTTATCCATTTTGGCCCTAGGGAAGAAGAAAAAATAGTGCTTGTTTGTTAATTAAAAAAAATTAATAGATTTTCAAGCTCCTAATATTTGATTGGCTTTAGGATAAATTCCCATGATTTAGCTTCCCATTCGAATTTTGTACCCCTTCGTTTTCTTTAAAATAGAATTTCTATATACTGTAAAAAAAAAAAAAAAAAAAAAAAATCTATAAATCTATAACACATAATAATGAGGAAAATAATGAAATTTTTCTAAAAGTCCATAGTGAAATTTTTATATATTCAACAATATTCTTAGTTTATGGCCAATTAAAATATTTTAATTTAAAATATAAAATAAATAGCAAGACTCGCAAATTTGTATAATTTTTAGGTAAATACTTCTAGCTATAGTAAAAAAAAAAAAAAAAAAAAATCTATAATCTATAACACATATATATGAGGAGAAATAATGAAATTTTCTAAAATGTCCATAGTGAAATTTTATATATTCAACAATATCTTTAGTTATGTCCAATTAAAATATTTTAATTTAAAATATAAATAATAGCAAACTCTGCCGAATTTTTGGTATAATTTTTAGGAGAATAACTCTAGCTATAGGAATTAGAATTTTATAAATAAATAAGAAATCATTTATGTTATTAACAACATTACTCTTTATCTTCATTATTTCTTCTACATGGCACGGGTATCTCCTAAATTTTTCAGAAAAAGAATGTCAATTTAACTATGTTATCACCAATGGTTTACTAAATTCACCATTGCACTGTTATTTTTCAAATTCATTGTAATTTATTTATTTTCAAGTAAGTTTTTTATATATAGATACTTGGTTGTGCATTGATGAATGACGTGAATGTTTAATGTATCCTTGTAATGTGATTAGTGTGCGAGAGTTGGGAAAACGTGGATCACCTGAAGTTTCTTGTGACACGAGTATGGTGAAAATTTCGTCAATAGCGCCCCCTATGCACTTTGAAACTCGACACGTGTCATGGAAGATGTTTTATTTAAGGAAAATGTTTTATAAAAGAGATTTCTATTTGAACGACTATGATGTTACTTGGAATAGGTGTGAGCATCCGAAGTGCATAATATTAGTAATTAAAATACGTTTTAGGATGAGTATGGTCCTGTTAAGGTGATTCCACTTACTAACAACCACTTGGTATACGTTATGATTATTATTACTTATGGATACTATGTTTGATATTGCGTGAATGACGAATACTCAATTAAAAGATTTTAAGATTATATTGCTTGAACGCCTGAGTTATTATCCATTGAGTTTTATACTCACCCCACTCCCTTTAATTTTTCAGGAACCGTGTCTTTGTTCTCGCATCTATTTAGAGCTTTTTTTTCTTCCTTTCTCACTCAGCTAATTAAAGTAATGACAAGACATTGAATATCAATCTCTATTTACCTAAGCTTCCCAAAATTGTATAAATATTAGATATTCGCAATTACAATAGTAGTGTTATATATGTAATGCTAACAATAATTACAAGTTATGTGAATTTTATTTTGATAGAATGGATTATGTGAATGAATGTATGAGCTAAATATTGACTAGAGCCCAATGAATGACTTTATGAATATACATTGTGAATGCGCATGCTATAGAACCGAGAAAATTGAATAAATGATAAATGATGAATATGTAGGGGTGTGCACGGGACTGCGCGGAAATTTCGACCCATTCTCAAAAACCATCGCAAATTTTTCATTTCGAGAAAAATCCGATATTGATTTTAGAATCCCATCCCTAATTCTGTCCTGAAAGTATTTATTGGATGAGACTGATTCTTTGATTAAAACCAATCTAAGTTCTGTCTCATTCCGTTCCACCCGAAAATCAGGAATTCTCGTTACTTTTTTCTTTAAAACTCTAGTTATCTTTTTTTATGAATTTCAAATTATGCCCCTAAAAATCATTTCATCTTTTTTAATTTAGTTTTTTTTATGATACCAATTACTACTAAAGTAATAATAATACAAAAAATAATATGCATTTTTTTAAATATAAAATAAATCAAGTAAAAAACATAATTTTCAATATAGATTTTTTTCTGTTATTCCAATCTATGTTCACTAAATGTTTTTAATAAACTTTTTTCTATTAAATAAAAAAATGAAAAGATTAATCAATACAAGAAAAAATAGTAACTTTAATTAATATGATTGTTAGATTATTGGTTATGCTTAATGCTATCATTATTTATTTTTCAAATGATATCTAAGATTAAATTACGTAATATCGTATTTAAATCGGCTTAAAGATAACAGTGAAAAAAATAATAACAAGTTAAAATTTATAAAATACATATAAAGTTAAATTGTATATAATTTTTGCATTATTTTATTTTATTATATTTAATACTTTTATTAACTAGAAAATAACTATTTAAAAATCTTCTATTATAATTTTAGAAATCATTAATGATTGAATTAATCATTTAAATTATATATTTCTTTTAAACTCAAACCTATATAGATGAATTTTATTTGAATGTAATCGATGAATATAATAATTTTTTTATCTTTTTTTGATGAAAAATAATTTAATAAGACTATGAAAAATCCCGATTGATTCCCGACTCGATCCATTTCGTCATGTCCCATAGACTCGAATTTCATCCCGTTCTGTCTCAAAAAAGGGATGGGATGGGACAAGATTACATATCTATTGGGTCGAGATTGAGACTTTATTTTTTACGTTCTGATATTTTAGGATGGGATTGAAAATCATAAATTTTCGTACCAACCCGATCCATGTACACCCATGTGAAATGTATATTCGTATCTGAATTAGGGCCACATAAATGATTTGGATAGTTATCATTGAATTGGGCTATTCAAGTGAATATTCTTATTGGACTTGTCTTTCCGGGTAATCTTTGTGGGTTTATTGAATGGCAAACGGTGTTTTAGACTTATTATAGGTTGTAGATTACATGGCCTGAGTGCTGATCCGATCCATGAAAACAGATCGTGACACCTATTTATAACAATAATAATACATATGGATTTCTTCGAGTATACTTAGTGAAATTTAAAATATTATATAATATCCTTAGTCATGACCTATTAAAAGATTCAAGTTAATGTCAAATTCAAATTTAAAAATATTAATGATATTTGATTAATTGTAATATTTGATATGATTTATCTAAAAAATTAATAATTTATGATTATACAATAATAAATATCCTATAAATATTTAAAAATTAATCTAATATTAATTAATATTTAAAAAATAAACCCAAGCATATATATGTGTATATCTATAAATTGATTTAAAGAGTTGTATAAATATTACAAGTCTAATTAACAATTGAACTGAACTATATATAAATATAAAATTTTGACTATAATTATTAATTAACTATTATATTTACATTAATATAAATATGAAATCATGTTTTAATATTATAGAATCTAAATAATACAAGAGAAAAATTATAACCAATACTCAATATTACATAGAAATAATAAACGAGTAAGAAGAACCTGAAAAAAGCAATCCGAAAATGAGAATATAACATCAAAGAAAAGTAGGCTAACTCCATTAAAAATGTGACATTTACAGATATATAAATTAACAAAATCACAGCTACAATTAAAAGCACATAAATAAATAAAACAAAGTCATTGCTCATGTTTCTCATCTAATATTCTTCCAATATTATCTAATGCGTCTTTAGCTGCTCTATTATGAGCAATTTCTTTCTTAAGTCCATATGTTCCTCTTCCTATAAGTTGATCATTTATCAACACATCGAAAGCCATGCTTTCTCTCCACGAATCCACAAATTTTACTTTCAGATTTCTCTTTTGACATACCTCATAAAGTTCAGTAACTGGATGTACTTTGAGGGTTTCTTGGTTAATTATGGGTTCCAACAAATCCTTGAACACCTGATGCCAATAAAAATTATTGCATTTTTCAATATTTTCTGGAGATTATTACTATAATGACAATCATGAAAGTAGGTAATACCAATTTTGCAACTATGTATTCTTTTTTTTTAATATTAGGAAAAGTGGATTCGAATCTGAATCTATTGTTAGGTCACGTATGCACTTACGATTAGGCTATACCTTAGTGTGCCAACTATGTAATTCTACCATTACCATTTTCTCGCACAAAAACTACTGATCTTAATTATAAACTAGGTAGAGAAAAATATGACAATATAATATAAAATTGGACAATGTGAAAGGAGATGGAATACCTTCCAAGTGGTATCAACTGAAGAGTTACTATCAATGAAGACAGCTCCAATTACTGATTCAACAATATCAGCAAGAACTTTTGGTACATCAACTAATCCATGGGAGTGCAGTGGATAGTCTAAGATTGCTTGTGAAAATTCACGGATCTATTTTTGTTTTTATAACAATATATAAATTAAAGAAAAAGTCAATAATGATTCTTTCATAATAGTATCAAAATCCATAAGCATAATCAACTAGCCAAACAAATTACAACCTTAATTTCTCATAATTATTTGCATTTAATTCATCTTAAATATGGTATTTTTTGTTCATTTTAGGACCGTTTAATAATTTTAGATATATACTAGTTTTTTTCTTTTAATATATAAAGTAAAGTGCGCTTTCGGAAATTGAACTTGTGTTCTCACCTTTACGTGAATTGAAATAACTAACCACCTTAACCAACACCTTGTTGATATGTAAGTTTTTATCTATAGATAATAATTTTGACTATTATATAATATTATAAATCTCATATATTTTTAAAAATGTGAAAGCACAATGATATTTTAAAATAATAAAACTTCTCTATTAATAAAAAGACATTCTTTTCGTTTAAAGGTTCATAAACAATTGAACCCATGACCTCAACCATAGTGATCAGCCTCACAAGTGCTCTTTGCAAGAGCGCTATCTGCATTCGGGTCTTTGTTTAGATGAGTTTTATAAGAATTATTGGATTTATAGTAATGAGAATACTTACTACTTCTAAATTAGGTTAATAATATATTAGTACTATTATTATTTATTTAAATTTTACTATTAAATATATAATTAATTATATTTTTTAAAACATGCTTTCACTTTAATATTTTCAAGAATATAAATTCAAAACATAAATTCTCCAAACTAAAAACCTAGATTTTTTTTTTTGAAAAATATTATTTTTTCCTTAATATTATAATAAGCTAACTATAGAAAAATAATCTCAATATTATCATTATTAAAATGGTATGATCTTACTTAAATATTTTGTAATTTAACTTACTTAACATACTATTATGTACATTGAAAATTAATTTTATACACCTTTTACTTTAATTTAATTTAAAGTATTTTCTTTAAAATAATTTTTTAGCATTTTAAGTCACCTTTACTTAATTTAAAATATTACAATATATCAAAGTTATAGAATATGGTTAAGATTATTAAAATAAATAAAATAATAATTTATATAGAGAGAAAGATAGATTTCTGTAAATTAAAAAAATGTATCCAAGAAAGAATTTAAAAATAAATACAATTAAGATATGTGATATGTAACCTTTTTAAAAAAAGATTTAAAAAGAAATTTCTTTTAAAGGCTAAAACAAATTTAGAAAGAAAAAAAAAACATATATATATATAATTGTTCATGTTTACACGCCCTAGTAAGTTAGTATGCCAAATGGCACACAAACACAAAATTTCAAAATGTGCTACGATTACAAAAACACCTTCACTAAATATTAGTATTAGAAAAGTAATAATAATAACAACAAAAAGCCTGTTCTGAGTAAAAAAAAAGGAGCTGATGTCTAAACCAAAAAATTATTCAATTATTATCTTAATTATCAATTTTAATATGTTATTTATATTCCTCGGTTTAACAAACCTTTTACAGGATTATAATTTTCTTAATTTGTTTCTATTTAGTATTTTAAGTATTTAACTAACTTTATATTTATATATTCAAACAAACACAGAACACAACAATTTCTAAGTAAATGAAAATAATAGAAAAAAAAAAGAAGATAAGGCCTTTCTAACAGAGCAGAACACGAGTCACTTACTTGTTCCTCAAGAAGAGGTTTGTTGTGACGCAAAAACCGATGCAGACCGAGTTTAACGGCCACACGTGCGAGCTTTTCTGAATCGACATTAGCTGCTCGAAGCCGGGTCAAAGCACCAGGTTGCAAATTCGGGTATTTGAAATAATGCTCCTTGGTGAATAGCAGATTGAGTACAGAATCACCCACATATTCCAATCGCTCGTATGAAAATAATCTATCTGGAAACGAAGAATCTGTAAACGCCTCTTCTAATAAATTCTTGTCTTTGAACTTGTATTTTAAAATATCTTCCACCTCTTCCAGACTCGGTAGTGATTCTACCTGCGTTGACTCGGCCGTCGATTCAAGCGATTCTTGTTCTTGTTGTTGCACCCCTTCGAGACTTGGCAGCAATTCTACCTGAGTTAACTCAGCTTTTGATTCAAGCGATTGTTGCTCTTGTTGTTGCTGGGAAGCCATGGTAATCAATAGAAAGAAAGAGAGGAAGAATGCTGGTAAGAAAAGAGAGCTTTATAATTTAATATAAATAACAATAATATTTTTTTTGAAAGAGAGAAATAAAAAAATTTATTATAGCGATATTGTGATCTTTCTATTTATGGAAATAAATTTTGACGTGAAAGAAAGTAGAAATTAAATTACTGCTGTAACTGTAGTTAAAGATGGAGGGACCAAATAAATGACTGTTGAGAGCGTTGACTAATTGGGAAATTTGAACTCTGCGTTTCACAGCTGTTTGTTGCTTGCTTGCCAAGAACAAGAAACCTACCATAAGGGCATGAAGCAGTACATGCATGTCCATGCGTCGGATGATTATTGGAATATCCACCAACTTTTATTTCACCGAAGAAATTAACTGGAAAATTCTGGTATTTTGGTTACAATATCGAAGTTTCCTATGTGCCGCCTTTGGTTTCCTCAAACTATTATTTAATTTTAAATTGTAAAAAAAGTTTATTTTTTAAAAAAATTAATTTTATAATAATTTTTGGCACTGTGATTGACTTGCTTTTGACAGTGTGTTTACAGTAAATAATTTACGCGGCGTGTTGAAGGGCGCGAAATTGAAAATACTCGTTAAAATGAAAAAATTCCTCGCACTTTTCTAACATGAACTACCATTCAAGTTAGCACATCACTTGATGTATGTGTCACTAAAATTTAGACAGTGTCTGGGGATAATAAAGGAAATTTTTATTTTGTGGGGAAGTTATGGACTTCCAAAACTTTTAATAAGTTCACTCTGATGGAAACAATAACAACGGTCTGAAGGCTAAGTAGGGGTCATTGCTAGGGAATGGGGTAAAAAAGTATTCATTTCAATTGATTTTTTTTTTTTTTTTTAAATCTCGCCGTTATCACAGCTGTCTTTGTGTTGCTTGCTTGCCAAGAACAAAGAAAGCCTACCATAAGGCATGAAGCAGTAAACATTGCATGTCCCATGCCGTCGGATGATTATTGAATAGTCCACCAACTTTATTTCACCGAAGAAAATTAGCTGGAAAATTCTGGTATTTTTGGTTACAATTATTTCGAAGTTTCCTTATGGCCGCCTTTGTTTCCCAAACTATTTATTTACAATTTTTAACAATTTTGTAAAAAAGTTTAATTTTTAAAAAAAAATTAATTTCTATAAATAATCTTTGGGCACGCTTTGACTTGCTTTGGAACAGTGTAATTTACAGTAAATAATTTTACGCGGCGTGTTGAGGCGCAAAATTTTGATAAAGTACTCGTTAAAATGAAAAAATTCTCGCAAACTTTTCTAACATGAAACTACCTATTCAAGTCTAGCACATCACTTTTTTGATGTTGATGTGTCACTAAAATTATAGACAGTGGTCTGGGGACTAATAAGGAAATTTTTATTTGTGGGAAGTTATGGACTCAAAAACTTTTCATAAGTCACTCGATGGAAACAATACAACGGTCTGAGGCTAAGTAGGGGTGCATTGCTAGGAACTGGGTAAAAAGTATTTCATTTCTTTTTTTTTTTTTTTTTTAAAGTGTTAAAAGAGTCGATCTCATCAAACCTCACAAAAGCTATATGCGCAATCCAATATATTGTCATTAAAGCAATTATGACAATAATATCAAGATATAATTTAAAAATAAATAAATAATAAAATGGTTGGCTTTCATTAATTATAAAATAATCAACCACAATAAATATTAATCACATTTTCACGATTAATAGGCATTACCGTAATTCCATTTTGATTTCAGAACCGTGCGGTTTTGTTATAAGATGAAATCAAAATTGAATTGATTTCATGTGATTTTTAAGACAATTTTAAAACAGTTAGTTTTCGGTTTGACGGTGAAATTAGATAATGATTTTTTAAGTTTTATTAAAATTTATATCTTGAATAAATAGTACTTCCTCCATCCAATCTGATTATTCCTTTTTTAATGTTCCAAAATCTGCAAATTTTTTAATTTATCTATTTAAATAATTAGTTTTTTCATAATAATTTTTATAATTGTTCATTAAATGAATTATTTTTATTAATATCTTAATGAGTTAAGGGTAAAACGGCTAAAAAAGGTAAAATAATTTTTATTCACTGAATTCTTAATATATGTGTTTTGTTAAACCATACAAACAAAATGAAACAAAGTAGTAATAGTAATAATAATAATAATAAATATTACTATTGAAGAAGAAGAAATCGGTTTAATAAAAAGTGTTCAAATATATTTTAAAAAATTAATTCCCTAAAAAAAATATTGAGTGTTTTATTTGAAAATATTTTTTCACGGTTTTAATCTGAAAAGAAAAACTGAACCCTAACTGTAAACATACAGTTTTTGACTACTGAAAATTTTTGAACTACGATCTACAATTTTTGATTACTGAAAATTGTTGAACTATGATTTAGTGTCGGTTTTAACTAGTTTAATTCCGATGAATTCCAATTTGAAACCTAATTAACCATTAGCTTTTTATACTATTTTTTTTAATATTAAGTTTCTCTCATGATAATAGAGAATTATTATGATAACCTTAATTTAGAAAGATATGTAAGAATACATAATATTATGGTAATTTTAATTGGAAAAGACAAGTTACAATATTATGATAATTATAGTTATTTAATAATAAATATTAATACTATAATGGAATGACAATTATTATCAATATTGTAATCGAGAAAGATTACAATATTATGATGATTATAATCGAGAAAGATATATTACAATATTATGATAATAAAAAAAAGTAAGGGAAAACATTCTTTATATATAAATGTCTATTAAGTAAAATTATATTCTTAATTTTTAATATTCCACTTTTTTTTAAGGATAAACTGAAAAGTCACATTAACTCAGATGGAGTTCATGAATAAACGGAGGTTCCTCCTCGATCCACAAGATCTCTTCCAAAAGGCTAAAAGGTAATTTTGAAAGTTCATGTGCAATCCAATTCCCATCCCGCAGAATATGAACACATCTAAAATTAACACAACTACTAGCAAAAGAATCTAAAATTAGTAACCTGGTTCCATAATCAGAATCAGAAAAGTCTTTTAATTTTTTTTACACTTATGAGGAGTTTCATTGTGTTAAATATTTGTATAAATTAATTTCGAATAGATTTAATTGAAATGAGAATTATCAAATGATAAATTATTAATTATTTATCACACTTCTAAGGAATATTATTGTACTAAATATTCATTTAAATTACCAAAAGCCTGCATACAGTACTCGAGCCGAACGCAATGTGATTATAGACCAAAAAATGTTCCTTTAATTAAAATAATTTGTTTAAATTTTCAATCATGCTTCTTGAAGGAAAATACTATTAAATAGTAAGTTGGAAAATACTATTCCTATTATCAAAAGACAACAGGGTCCAGACTTTAGTCTGGTAGCAAATTGCTCATGCAATGATGGCCGTCAGACTCATATATTCTTTTTCTGTAAGTCTAATCTAGACATCAACAAAACATATGGCCACCAAAGGTAAAACCGGCACTTCACATTGCATTATAAACCGAACAACAAAACCACAAAAAGCAAAAGCCCACCATATAGAGGATAATCAAACCAACAAAAAAAAAAAAAAAAAAAAAAAAAAAAAAAAAAAATCCACAAAGAAGGAACATAAATAAAGAAAATCAAATCAACAAATCCGAGCATTATTAAACAATAAAGCTAAAAGCTTCTGAGAACAGACGATAGAGTTTCGATCCCTCTTTATATAACTAGAGAAGCAGCCTCCACTGATAATTTTCTATCACCTTTTATATCCATAGTATCGTGCTAAATGCGTATCGATAAGTTTTGAAAATATTTGATGGAACTGTTAATGTTTTAAAAAATGATAAAGGATATCGCTGAAAATATTACATGCTTGTGTGCGATTCATTTCTGTACTTATCAAAATGATTAATGCATTTCTATTTTATTTCTTCCAATTTTTCTAACTAAACATTTACAAAAAAATAAAAATAAAAATTATATATATAGCGGAAAAGAAATATTTAGGCATTACAAGTAAAGGGGGGAAAAAGAACAAAACCTCCAATGTTCTTGACGTCTATAGTCTCTATCTTCCTGACATTAAATTGACAAGAGCTTGATTTTCATAGAAGGAACCGACGTCCCAATCCTCTGTTGAGGATGAGAGAGTCATTAAGGCTACCACAATAGATCTCATACTTGGTCGCAGAAGAGGATTCTCCTGTGTGCATGCCTTGGCGAGCTGAGCCATCTGCAACCGAAATAACCACTTAATTTCAGTTATCTCTAACCGTAAGTGTGCAGACACACACATATTTGATATATTATTTTTACCTTTCGAACTGAATCGAATGTATAGTTATCTCCTAGCCTTGGGTCAATCAATTTGCGAAGTTCTTCTTCAGGATCAGGCTCATCAAGAACATCTTCGAACTGTCAATCACAGTAAAACAATAAGGTTAGTTCATGGACATTTTTCAGGAAGCTATTCAATATTCATGAATTTGGCAATACGTGAAAATTAACAGGCATACAAATTTATTACATACTGAACATTTTTATCTAACTCAAAAGTGTATTTCGATTCAACCGAACCAGGCAGTAATTACAAACAAGTCCAGTCCAACATTACCGAGTATAGCCTGTCTAGTTTAGCTATAACTTGAATATTGATGGTGATATTTTAGCAACTTCTTCCCATCTATTTACACACTAGATTAATTGATAAGGAAGTGGTAGAAGACTAACCAAAGCAACAAGGCCCCTTGATTCAGCATTAGAACCATTTGCCTTGACGATAGCTTCCTTGGCAGAAATAAGTTCATAAAGGACAACCCCAAAGGCATAAACATCCACTTTTGGAGAAACATCGCCATATTGTGCATATCTGTCAACAAACATAAAAAGTTTAATCCATATTAATAATGTAAAATAAATGGTGGCTTTCTTGTTTTCCCCATCATATGAGATGCAAATGCGATTTATTCTCATAAACTAACTTTCTCTACAGGGCTATAGCGGCTCCACTGGACATGCTAAACATACATTTGAATGTACAATATATTTATTGTTATTTTCGTGTTTTCCAAGATCATCACTTTCCCTTGGTGCTTATTTTATCTTCCTGAAAAATCTCTCATTAATCTATCAGAATCCACCCTAACAGCCATCTCCTGCATGAAATTCTTCATTTTGCTTTGATCATTGAGGTATGAATCTGGGAGGTAGCCCTCCTCATTGATGCCTGGGCTCAAAACATCTTGCATCATGGAAGTAGGCTTATGCCATTAGTTGAATGGCTCCATCCAGAAAATTCTAAACATAACATCTCATTGAGATGGGAGTGTAGACAGTCTGGTTTAGGGTTTTGAAAATTTTCAAACTGAAATGAACTAAAATATAACAGTTTAAATTGGTTTCTACATGGTGTACAATTACACAATTATATTTAAATATAGTAAATTATTATTTTTTATCGATTTTAGTCTTCTTTTTCTTTTAAAATAAAAGTTTTATTATTTCTATCATCCAAAATAAATAAGTATTGGTTCTAAGTCTGATTCAAATGAAAAATATCAATTTTGTTCATGAGAGACATTCATTAAGTATAAATCCAAAAAGAAAATCATTCAATATATTACTAGTTAACATCAAATTCTATGTTATATAAAAATAATTAGTTAAAATATTAAAATTTACATTTATTAGTGTTATTATTATTATAGTTTTATGTATTATTCTGAAATAAATATTGTTTACAGTTTGCTTTGGTTTAATTTATCAAGAAAACAGAAACTAAACTGTAAATCGGTTTTTATAAAAGAGATAAAACAAATTCTTAATTTTTAAGAGTCAAACTGAACTAAATTGCTTAATCTAGTTTTGTCTAGTCTAATTTAGCGGTTTCCCTAATAATGAACACCCCTACATGTAGAATGTTTCAGTGGCAACCATCCTGTCTGAATCGAAGCACAGATCTCCAGGACCTATGCTCAAACCATTACAAATAGGAAGTTGCTAAATGCAACTAGACTAGCTATATTTAGTTTTCATGTCAGTACAAACAACTAGACCAGCTGATATTTAATTTTCATGTTAATTTGATAAATTATCTTACTCTGGTGGCATGTATCCAAATGTACCCACAAGACGTGTGGGGAGTGATGCACTTCCAACCTCTGTCAGTTTTGTTAACCCAAAATCTGCAACCTGTACAAATGATTTATTATTAATAATTTAAATGGCTGTCAAATGGATGATCATCCAACAGATGTGTAAGTACAACCTTTCCACGATAATTCTTGTCAATTAATATGTTTGCTGACTTAATATCACGATGAATATAAACAGGAACAGTATGCTCATGGATATATTCAAGGCCCCTAGCTGAATCAAGGGCAATTTGCACCCTAGAAGACCATGGCAATGGATCCCTCTCTGGAAACAAGCAACATTATTATCACTACTATAACACATCAGCTAGCACAAGAAATGATATATATATATAGAACAGATATAGTCTCACCAGAACCACGCAAATGTTGGCTTAAGTTGCCATTCTCAATGTATTCATAAACTAGGAAAAGAGAACCCTCAACACAGTATCCAATCAGTCGGACCTGCATAAAATGCAGATATTATTGTCTATTGAATAGAAGGAAAAGAAAAAATAAACATTTACAAGATCATCCATGCAGTTTGAGTGTGCATAAATTAGATGTACACAGACAGGAGCATTTCATTGGCCAAAATAGTCATCAAAACCGTAAATAAATAGGTAAACAGATTGCAAATCCTTCTAGCAGGAGACGAATGCTTATGCAATTAATTTTGACCTCCTAACCTCGAGAATGTTAGTTGATCAAAGTATACGTCACAGCTTTGTGCTTCTAAACACAAATAATATTTTCCAGATACAACATGGAGTTCATTTCTAGATTTTTCTTTTTCTCTCTCTCAAAGTTATGCCTCAACTGCTTTTGAACTTCATTACAGAAATAAATATTGTTTAAGAGTTCGTTATACAAAACAAAGAACATATATGGGTCTAAAGAAGTGAGTGCATTAGATTATCCATTCCAAAATTGATGCGAAGAGGCAACCAGGCATAGTATTTTATCTAAATCACCATGCAGGGATTCCAGACTGTACCTGTTCTCTGATCAAGCAAAGAAACAACATAACTTTGCCAAGGTCAATGGATCCTCAACAAAGAACCATGTTAAGTTCATTACTTTTAACTTGAGAAATGCAATAACGTGAATATCTATTTACTTCATAGGATAGACACAAACAGTAACTATGAATTTTTCTAGTTAATGCCGGTAATTTATTTCAAGAACTGTTCTTAAATAAAATTTTGACGTCTACCAAAATGAAAAAAACAGAAACCAGTATTTCTTCTTTATAAGCACTAATATTTATTATAACTTTGAGAGAAAGTATACCAGGTTCAAGTGATGAACATGTGTTAAAACCTTGAGTTCAGCAAAGAATTCTTTTGAAGCTTGCATGTCCATCTTCTTGATTGCAGCTTTCTGCATAATTTAGTCCAATTTATGGGTGTTAGAAGCAGAAAAGTAAATTACCAATAAAAGAGAGTTAGCGAGAACATAGGTAGATGCTGCCATCCCTTAACGATGCAAGAAGAAATATCAAATATGCATCCATCCTAAAGAGCATCATACGACGAACAACATAAGGCAGACAGCCAAAAATAGGGGAACATGTTTTCCTCATCTTCCAATGTTTGAGGCTCATAGGAAACTGACTCAACAAAAAATATTTTCTCGGGTCTAAATCATTAAAACTACCCCAAACTTTACAGGTAGTTTAAATTGTACCCTAAATCCTCAACTTTCTTCTAGTATCCTGAACTTTAATTTTAGTTACAATAACACTATAATTTCAAATTGGACCTAATTTAATGAACAAATTATTATTTTTATGGGACTCAGTTTAACCTTTTTCCCAAATTAGACTCATTCCCCACCACCATTGCTTATAAATAAATAAATATTTATTTATATTAAATATTTTATATTAAATATTAAAATAAGAAACAATCTATTCATCTTAAAAATAAAATACTTTTATTTCTTTATTAAGTATTGACAACAAATAATGATTCTCTAAAAATAAAATGACATTGTGATAAATAAAACCAATTTTTATAAGAGATTTAACTTGAGTATAAACAAAATTTCATACTTAAAAAATAGCAAAACAAAAACCTAAACAAATATTTTATGCTTATAACTAACTAAAATTTATTATTTACTTGGCTTTTTACGAATTTAAATTCCTAACCAATATTTTACTTGGCTTTTGTGAATTCACAAGAGAAATATCACTCATTGATGTGACCAGCAGAATTTACTTCTTATTTTTTAATTCATAAGTTTCTCTTCTATTCAAATGAAAAAACTAAGTGAAATATATATATATATTTTTGTTTAATTCATAAAGGTTCTGCTTCTATTCAAGATGAAAAAAAAAAGCTAAGTGAAATTATATAATATATATATATATATATAGTATGTGATTCTCAGTAGAATCAAACGATGTTCATTTATTCTTACATATATATTCTCATAGATCAAACATGTTCATTGTATTCTTTACTGGAATTTTTTCTAGTGTGAAAATAGTTCTTAATGGATTCCAGTGTTATATCCATACAATGCAAAAGAATAATTCCATGACTGCCTAATTAAGAACATAGAGGATGCTAGTAAAAAAAGATGCGACCACCAATTAAGCTTTAATCCAAGTGAATGTCAAAATTTAGATTCTACTTCTTCCATTCAATCTAGGACAGTATTCCACTCACTTTCTCATACCAAGCTTGTTTCCTCAACTCCAATAGACTAAGGCCAAACAACTGATATAGAGCCGTCTCCAAATTTCCTAATTCCCCAAACCTAAAATGTCTTTAAAGTAAACCAAGTAGTCCAAAAAGAGAGGTATACAAAATTACGTTCAAAAAAAAATAATAATTAAAATAAAAATAAAAATTCAGTCATATTAAGTCACATTAATATAAATGATACATGCAAAAATACAAATGATAGGGCAATCCATTAACAGATAAACAATAATTCAAAAGTAGACTGACATTATAAGAATTTGACAATCCAAAAACAGAAAAGAAAAAGGAAAAGATGGTGCTCATTTGCCTTAAGAAACACAGCCAACATGCTAGATTAATTAATGCATATTATCATGAATGAAAAATGCACAATGGTAACATGTTTCTTCAATACTGATTGATAATAAATGAACAATAATGTTACAACAGACCTCGCCTCTCAGCTCTGCATAGTAAACAGACCCAAAGCCACCCTGACCAATCTTATTAGCCAAATTGAAGTTATCAGTAGCCTGGGCAAGTTCTTCATAAGAAAACTCCACTGATTTGTCCACAGTTATGCCTGTAAGGCCCGGAGATGGTGCCAGACCAGTTGATTCGACAGGTTTATCTGAGTTACTTCCAGGAGCTGAATCAAGAGACCCAAAGGTCAGGAGTTGAATAATTTTTTTCACAATCAATGCCATTTCATTCACACACATGCTAGAAATTATAACCAGAACAAAGAGATAATGATATGCTGCATGTAGAAAAAGAAAGTACGAAGGCACATTATGGAGAAACAAGATTAAAGTTTTTAGCAAAACTCTCTCTCTCTCTCTCTCTCAGACACATAGAAAAAGCAAAGAAATTCAGAACTGAGACCAGTAAATTCATTAGGTACTTCAATCAAACTATGAGAGAGAGAGAGAGAGATCAGAAACATACACAAAAAGCAGACAAACTCGTTGAGAATTGAGACCAGTAAATTCATTTGGTACTTCCATCAAAACTTAAGAAAGACACTAATAAAAATAAAAGTACCACGTAAACCTTGACCAGAGGGATCTTGAGATACTGTTGACAGCAATGTTGCCCCCTTCTCCTTCCTCTTTCTGTAGAATCCAAAGTAAAGACAAACTGCTAGTAAAAGCACCACAGCTACTGCTCCTATGGATATACCGGCAATAACTCCCCCTGATATCCCTGCTTATATGAAGGTACAATGTAAGTTCATCATGCATGAAATTTGCATTTCAACATCTCTGCCAAATATCAAAGGAAGCGTGCAAAGAAGACCAAACCACCTGTGCTGCAGAAAGGAAAAATTGGAAAAAAAAAAAAAAAGGACAAGCATATTACAATTTGTACTTGAAATAAATCCAGAGGTAGCCAAGTGGAACCAGTAACAGATTATGTTAATATAAGGAGTATAATAATTACCTTGATGTCAGGGGCCGATAGCTATTATTTTGATCTGCGAAAAAAGGAAAAATTTCAGCGACTCACACTTGTAGCACTTCACAGCAGATAGTTAACAATATCAACTTAATGATGCTGCATATATCTTGTATGGTACTATTGCATCCAAAAGCAAATACTCAAATGGTTCAACATGATTACCACCAAAATGAATAAAATAAGAATGGATGCAATCTAACGAGGATGCATGAGATATAACCATTTAGGATAAAATGAAATAATAAAGTGCAATTGTAATAGGGATAAATGAAATAGCTATATTATGATTGTAATGCCTGTTTAACTAATAATTATCCAGTTTGTGAAGGTCTACCATTTTATCATGTAGTTGAATTCTTCAAACCAGTATGTTTAAAAAACCTAAAAGGCTTCATCACTCAAGCAACTGCATTACACCTGCAAGAACATTTTGAACCAACTAGACTATTGCCTTGAAACTTAGCACGCAATTATGTGAGTATCGATACTAACTGTGGATTCTTGTTTCCATTTTAAGAAGCATAGCATCACGTTTGTCAGAAAGGGGCATTCTGAGATTTTATTAAAATAAGCTGCCAAACTTCAATTTACACCAATATCTTCAAATCAAATATTCAGTCTCCCAGTAAAGATTTCCTATTATAACCAATAAAAGAAATCCCCAGAGGCACCAGAAGTATGCAAACTAAGTATTAAAAGCATAAAACTTCTGTCAAGGAAAGAGAATTCAACAAAGTTTTGCAGGCGAAAGCCTGTTTGCTATGTACCAAAATGTAATTGTGCAAAGTGAATCTGCCACTGTCAAAGACTGGGAATTCAATGAACTTTAATTAAGTTGGACAATTGATCTAGACTATACAATCAAACGTACAATGTACACAAGAACTTAAACAGATTCTCTAATAAATCATTAACCAAGACAAAAAAAGTAATCCTTAAGATTCTTATATGTGCGTGTTTGTGAAAAATCACCTTTTCCCGGGATATAAACCAAACCACTTCCTCGGCTAAAATTGGCACCAATATTATATCTCTGCAGCAAATTAGCAGTAATATTAAACTGACTTGCAATGGATGCCAATGAATCCTCACGCCTGAGCGGGTAACTAACAAACAACCCATAATCCTTGGAAATGGAACTATCACCACACGAGCAATTCACAGTAACATTAAGCGTACCGACATCGGGTATATTAGTAGCTGGATAGCTATTGAACCTCTCCAACCATGACAACGTAGTCAAGTTAGAATAGTACTGCTCAGCAACAACATCATAAGTGTCACCGCTTTTCACGTCGTACCGGAAAACATGGCCGAGGAATTCACCATTGATGCAGTCGCAAGGAAAGGGGACGTTGACTCTGATGGAAGCTTCGACACTGTCCTTGTTCGGAACTTGATCTCTGTTGTAATCGACGATTGTATCAGGCGATCCTAAAATGTCAGATTTCAAAACACTGGCGATGAAAGTGAGGTTCGTTCCTTCCCAAACGTAATACGAAGCCAAAGCCAAATCGCAGCCTTTGGAACATTTGGAATGAGTGTAGCAGCAGAGAGAGAGTAACAGCAAAAATGATAATACAAACCCTAATTTTGGATTCATTGAGACTCAAAATTTGAGGAATTTCGTTCCTTAAGATTGCAGTGGAAACTTCCCTGACCTTAGGTTTTTGTATCTTTGAAGAAATGTTTGATTTCTGATATTTGATGTGTTTGTGGACCGTTGACTGGGTGTTTCCGTGTTTGTTGAGTTTAAAAATTGGAGATGAATTAGTTGATAATGACAATGATTAAGGGTTGTTGAAAAAGACATTTTCTGGGATTAAAGAAGGGATTAAGAGATGGACTATTGGCTGTGTCGTGTTCTGACTCCCTTGTAGAGAATACAATATCAGTAAATTCCCGCGGTTTCCTGGTCTTAAAGGCTTCGGGAGTATGGGAGGAAGTGGAGAATCACGCGCGGAGGCCGCTAGGCTTGGTTTGCTATAATTGGGCTGGGCCGGTGGATACTGGGCCTTAACGGCCTAGCCCTACAAATTTGGCAAATCTGGGTTGTGTTCCATGATATGCATTTTAAGTAGCTTTTACAACGGAGAGTATAAAAGTTAACTCATGTATGTAACATTCAGCTTCTACGCATTTCATAAAAAGTTACTAGAACATGTAATAATTAAACGCTATTAAAATAATTAACAACTATCAAAGCAACTAATTTTATCGGATCTGTTAGAAAGTATGTGTTAGTTTATATAAAAGAAAACCTTCATAAAATGGTCATAGTTGTGGAAGAATGTCCTATTTCTGACCATTATATACCTTGTAACGTTGCGGTGTTTCTTATTATCTAATAAAAAAAAAACATTAAACAACTTGTTCCCTACCATATTTTCAAACCAAACACTTCTATTGATAATATTAGCTTTTTATTAGTTTATACATGTAATCTGGATGTTATGGGTTTCAACCATGAAAACGGCTTTTTAAAAAAATGCATTTATATTTCGTGCATTTAAGACATCCTTAGTCATTTAGGGCTAAAAATTATAAGTGATGTAATCACATATTAATGCACTAAAACTTCAAAGCATAACAAGGGCTAATAATAACACGCACGAATATAGTTTTAAGTACATTTATGGAAAAACTCCCGACAAATAAAATAAAATAATAAATAATAAAATTACACTAAATCTCATACAACAATTCCTAAATCCTAGAATCTAAACTACAAAATAGTACTTCTTCCGTCCCGCTCAAAATTTCGATTTCTAAAATTTTTCTTGTTCCATTTTAAATGTCATTTTTTAAATTTAAGAAATAGTTTATTAATAATTTTATCTTTTTATCCTTATTTATTGAATTCCAATATTTTTCTCTTAACAACACATTCTCTCTTGACAAAAGGGTATTGAAATACTTTAAAATGATATTTTATAGAATTAAGATAAATTAAAGTTGACAGTTTGAGTAGAACGTAGGTAGCATACCCTAAACATTAAAATTTAAAATCTAAACTCTAATGAAATGCTGAAACCTTAAAATTTTCTAAAATGCTAAACTCAAAAATCCTAAAAACCTAAACCTTAAACTTTAAAATCCTAAAATCTAAATTCTTAATCCCTAAACCTCTAAAATCTAAATTCTTAAACCCTAAAGCTCTTAATCTTAAACTTTAAATTTTATTATTTTTAAGGGAGTCTCATAATGAGACTACCGAGGTTTATATCCTTCCTATAGTTTTATGAATCACTACCCGCAATATATATTAAAAAAATTTCCCATATATTAATGTAAAGCTCAAAGTGAATAGGAATAGCAATACGAATAGGAAAAAAAAATGAAGAAAAATTAAAACATAAAATTTACAGACTATTACAAAAATCATCGAAATTTTTATTATTTTAAAACAATATTATTAATATTATGAATTTCATTAATTTAAAAAAATAAAAAAAATTATTACTTTGAAAGAATATTAATAACTATATCCGTCCCAAAATTATGGTCTCTTTTCGGGTGTCTCAAAATAATTGTCTCTTTTTTTTAGCAAATAATTGTTCTATTTATATTTTTACAAATGTTTTTCTTTTCACTTTCTCACAATATCCTTATATAACAATTCGTGTAAACAATTAATATTAGTTGAATTTACTCAGTAGTATAGAAAAATCCATAAGATAATTAATTTTAAAATCTTATTATACTTATTATTCATCCTATTTTAAAAGTTTTAAGAAATTATTAATATCCAATCTTTAAGATCTTTTAAGGGTATATATGAAAAGATAAGAAAAAAATTATAGTTAAACTAATTTAACTAACTATTTTAAACTATGTGAAAAACATTAAGACTATAATTTTAGAAGCAATGGAGTATATATATTTATAATTTAATTAATTAATTATTGAAAAAAATAAAACTCAATTATTCCCTAAACTTGGATGCAATAATTTACCTAAAAATTAATTTTTCATAGAATCATTATCTTATCTTTGCAGTTTATATACAAAAGGAGCAAAACGGCCCAATTTTTTGTTATTTTGAAAATTTTTAATATTTCTAACTGAAAATTATTACTACTACTAAGGTAGAATAATTATTTTATTGAGAATATAATAAAATATTAATATTAATATTTTATTCCTTTTACGATAAGTTTTTTTTATTATTAATTTAGTACATAGCCGGAGTAATAAGTATATAGAAAACTGAGTTTTGAATAAATTATATATTGAAAACTGATTTTTGAATAAATTAATTTCATGAGACAAATTAAGTCTCTATCCGAAAAATGGACATATCATTAATATTATTAAACGTAAATTTTAGTTCTATTAATATACTCATCCTGTTCCGTAATCTTTTTTTCCTAATTTAACTTTTCACATATTAAGTAAATATATTTAATATTGTTCAACTATAATTTTTACTTAATATTTTTCTAATATAGTGTTATGTTCATAATTTATATTGTTCTATTGTAATTATATTGCTCACACTAAATTACTATTCTTAAAAAGATCTAACCTTCAATTTCACCCCGAACTTTTTGAGTAGTTGCAATTTCACTCTAAATCGACTTTTGTATCTTGGACACTCTAAACTTATTAATTAGTTACAATTACACCCTAATTTGTATTAATATCCAACTCATTATTTTTGAGTCTTAAAATTGTTTCAATTTTAAAATCAAATACTCAATCTTGATTATTTATTTATTTATTTGGGTTTGATTTTATTATTTATTGTTTAAATACTTAGACATGAAGTTCATTTTTTTATATTGTTTTAATCAAAATTCCAACCTTAGTTTACTTTTAGGTGCAATTGCAACAAATTAACAAGTTCAAGGTGTTGTAATTGACTTTTAGAGTGTAATCGCAAACTAAAAGCAAATTATGGTATAATTGCAAGTAGATTAACATTTCTTTCCACCCAAACTAAGTTTCAAACTCTATTTTCCATCATTTCTTATTTTACCTCCGTCCAAACAACCTATAAATAAATAATATAAGTAGCAAGTGAATATTTGAATTCCTTCCTCCAATAATATAATAAATGAATAAATTATTTAAAAATTTTATGAAAAGTAAAATAAATTACCTTTTCCTGGAATGAAAACCAAGCCACTGCCCTGACTAAAGTTGGCAACAGTATAATCAGGATTATATCTCTGCAGCAAATCGGCACTGATATTTGTCGCCCTCGCAATAGAATCCAAACTATCTTCAGGTCTGAGCGGATATGTAATAAACAACCCATACTCCTCAGAAATCGAGCTAACTCCACACGAGCAATTAACCGTCACGTTAAGCACACCAGTATCTGGTATGTTGTTCTCCGTATACTCAGGATTAGATAGCCGTAACGATGAAATCGTGGTCAAGTTGGCGTAAGTATTGTTCGCGATGGTGGTGTAAGTATCGCCTCCTGCGACGTTGTATTGGAACGTATGGCCAAGGAATTCACCGTCGATGCATTCGCAGGGAAAGGGGATGTTGATTCTGATAAAGGATGGGAGAGTGTCCTGATTTGGAACATTTTCTCTGTTGTACTCGACGATTGAATTAGCCGATTGTAAAATATTCGATTTGAATTCCAGGGCGATCTCTGATAAGACTTTTCCTGATACAACGTAGTATGATGCCAACGCTAAATCGCAGCCATCGCTGGTTCGGCATGCGGAATCGGCGGTGGTGCAATAAAGTGAGAGTAAAAGCAAAAGTAAAATTCCTAGTTTCAGATTCATTTGGGATCAAGAGATGAGAAGAGAAGGTTTTTCTGTTTTGATGAATAAGATGGACTTGAGAATTTGATTTTGATTTGTAATTTTGATCTGTGATGTTTTTGACAGTTGACTCGGATTGTAAACGCCTGCGATGATAATTTGGTGGTTGAAAAAGACATTTTTTTTTTTTTTAATTGAAGAAGGGACTGATGTGGACGACTGGTGCTGTTTTTTAATTTTTCTTTCTCTTCGAGCATATCAATATGGCGGTAATTTCCAGCTGGTTTCCCTTGGTTTTAGGCTCTAATATCTAAGCCGCCATCTTAAATGGGTTTGGTCTATTTGGGCTGGAGATGAAAATTGGGCCTTCAGGTTCTTGGCTCCAAAAATATTTATGTTTTATGTTCTAATCTTTCGTCCCTGCCTCTGTGTTCGATTGTGTTGATTGTTTTTTATATCTCACATTCCTAATATAACTATTTGTGAAAAAAGATAATTTGTTAGTAGGCCCTTTAGATTTTTTTTATACTTGCACTTTTCAAAATTGAATTTTTATTATCACTTTCACGGATTGAGGTCCCTTACCACTAGGGGCAAAATCAAAAAATTTAGTCAGTGTAGACAAATTTTATTCTTAAATTTTAATAAAATAAATTTTATTGGCCTCTAATTTAGAAATTACAAGTTTTAAATATTGATAAGAAAAAAAAAACACTATGCAATTTTCAGATATATTGAGCTATAATTTTTCTTAAATTTATTTTTCAATTTTTATATAGTAAAACTTATATTTACATAATTTTTCATTATTGAATGATCTATATAATGACTAATTCAAAGATAGTCTTTCAAAAATAAAAGGAAAAAAAAAAAGAAATTGATATGCTTAAAGTATAAATTGAAAAGAAAGAGACCAATTAATTAAAAAAATGAAAAAAAAAAAAGATAGAAGATGCAGGTTAAATTTAATAAAAAATTATGAAAAAAAGGAGATAAATATGGCCTGAATTTTATTGTAAAGCGCCAAAATAAAAGATGTATCTAACTAAATTTAGATAGTAAAAGAAATATTTAATTAAAGTTTTATATATTTTAAAATATTAAAATTTTAGTATAAATTATAAAAAAT